GAAGGATATGCAACCAAAACTTTGCTCAGTCTTTCCTCCTTTACTGCTTTTACCCTGGATCTGCAGTATGTGAAATGTCTTGCGTGCAGTTGACACCAGTACAAGTATGCTTTTCCTGTGATTTGTAGAAATGCTGCTACAGAATTGTGAGTGGACTGGTTATCTTCCTTCTAATAGATAAAAGTGACATAAGAATGGAAATATGTTACTTTGCCTCTTCAATGTTTTAGAGACTGAGATTAAGTGCATTGAAAATGGTCCCTTGACTCATCATATCTGTACTGGTCATCAAGTACCTAACTACTCTGGCCTAATTTTCCGGCCCTTGGTCCATAACCTTGAATGCTACAGTGCTTCAAGTGATCATCTGACTACTTAAATGTTGTGATAGTTCTTTCCACTACCAACTTTCAAGCAGCGAGTTCCAGATGCCCAACACCCTCTGGATGAAAAAAATCTTCCTTAAATTCCCTGCAAACGTCCTGCCTTTTACTTTAAATATATGCCATCTGGTTATTGATCCACTTACTAAAGAGAAATGTTTCTTCCTGTCTACCTCATTTAGTAGTCTAAGACTTGCCACTGCATTATATCCCACACCAACTTTTGTGTTATTTAAAAACTTTCTGATCAAACCTCCTACATTTATATCTAGATCATTAATATACACTACAAAAAACAAGGGACCCACCACCAAACTATGCAGTTTGCCACTGGAAACTTCCAGTTTCGGAAGTAACCTTCAACCATCATCCTTTGCCTTCTGCCATTAAACCAAGTTTGAATCCGATTTGACAAATTGCCCTGAATCCCATGGGCTCTTATCATCTTGACCAATTTCCCACATAAAGACCTTGTCGAAAGCCTTAATAAAGTCCATGTCAGCTACGTCAATTGCACTACCCTCATCCAGACATCCAGTCACCTTTCTGAAACTATGTCAAACCTGTCAGACGTGCTGTCTACCTGTCATAACCATACTGACTATCCTTGATTAATCCTTGTCTGTCCATTAGAGATTAATTCTGTCCATCAGCATTTTTCCAATAGTTTTCCTACCATTGATGTTAGACTCCCTGGCCTATAGTTCTCTAGTTTCTCGCTGCTCAATTTCATACGAGTAGATAATCCATTTTGGCCAAATCCTGCCTTATCTTAAAGCCAGCCTTCCTTTCCCTCTTTCTCTCTATTCTCTTTTGACCCCCAACCCCTATTCAAAATCTTTAATTGTAATCCACCTTTGTTATATTCCATGCCAATCTTGAATCGTACTATGTCAGGGTCACTAACCAAAATGCTCTCCCACTGGGAGTTTACCATCTGCCTGCCTTCATTCCTTAAATTTTGATACAGCATTGCCCCAGCTCTTGCAGACATTCTACATGCTGATCTATAACACTATGTCTGTACCCCTCACTATTGAGTGACCTACCACTACAGCTCCCCTTCTGTATCTGCTCCCACTTGTGAAGCTGGCCTCCGACTGCAATCCCCAGAGACTCTGATCCTCTCACTACTTTCCAACACACAATCTGTTCTTGAATGATTTGCATTCTGGGGTGTTTCTTGCCTGCCTGTTTGCCTCCTTATCTTTTTCTGACTGGTGATCGATCACCCATTCCTTCCCTGGCTGCATTTCCTTACATTGCCAGTTGATCATGTCTGAAAATGTGGTATCCACACTAACCTTCAACCCCTCAGATGCACTGCTGTGCCTACAGCCAATGCTCAAGCTTCAAAGCCTGGTTCTCAGACAGTCAAATCAGTGGCACTTCCTGCAGATGCAGTAATCCAGATCCTCAGGAATATCTAAGACTTACCATATAGGACTGAGTTTCCCAGCTGTTCCTTGCATTCAAAAACTCCTTAGCTTAAATGTAAACTAAGTACAAAACTAATTATGTTTCTTATGAAAAGCTCCTTCTCTTCACTTTCCCTAATAAAGTGAGCATTCATTGTAATTATGGCTAATCTGTGACTCGACTCCAATTATCCATTAGTTTCTACACAGTTTCTATTAACAAAATCCCATCAATCTCAGTTCTAGCAATAACAATTGATCAAGCATCAATTGCTGCTTGCCACAGAGAGTTGCAAACATCTACCACCCTTTGATGTGAAGTGTTTCCGATGTTTCAAATGAATGTATAATTAGCTATGTTTTTGAATGCTAGCTCTGTATTTATATTCAGACATGGAAGCGTAGTTCTCAAGCTTGATATGACAGGATGTTCCTTGGCAAGGTTACCTATTATTTCATTGCTTTCTTTCCAAGCTTTGAAAATCCAGTGCTAAAGGTCATGAATGGAGTTGTTGTTCACTAGATGAGATGTAGAAATATCAAGGCAAATGGTGAATAACAGCTTTCACAGCAATGTGAGAGTGTTGTATGAGACCAGGGGCAGCTCCAAAAAGGCTTTAACTGAAAGTGATGGACATGCATTTGGACCAGCACTACTTTAAAGTAATGCATCAATTTTATTTGGCCACTCATTTTTTTGGCAGGTGCTAAGAACTGAGAGTTCTGTGCCTGCTATCGGTCAGCTTCCTCATGTCGTTATTCATGTAGCTATCAGGCTCTGAGCTGATATTGCTCATCCAGAAAACAATCTGCAGCCAACCACCACCTATAACAGGCCATGGGAGTAGAAGCAGTGCAATTGCTGCCAGGAATGAAGACAGAATTGCAAGAGGCAGTGACAAAACCGACAGCAGGACTGGAGGAAATGCAAGTTAGGATTTAGCATAAACCTAACTGAGAGTGGGAGAGTTTTATTGTGTTTCTCTGTAAAAACTGACTACTTCTCACTGATCTGTCTCTCCCACTTCTCCAGTCTATCCTTATGCCAGCTCTCCTACTTTCGACTCTGTGACGGAAGAGAAATTTTGTTATGGCTTACAGATTTAATGCTAATTTCTGCAGCACATCCCTTGCACCTATTTTTGATTTGTATGAAAGACTGAAGAATGTTGCTGTGATAAAGTATAAATCAAATATCAGCATTGTTTCAGATCAGAGATATGAGAACAGTTGTGGCAATGTTATAATCTCATTCACTGAGAAAGGACGGAATTAAGTTTCTGATTCTGATTTCTCATTGTAAATTGCAAACTCCCTCCTAATACTGCACTTCATAATTTCAAGCTTGTATTGCTTATGGAGGCTTTTTGCATTCTTGAGTATTTGGCTGGTGATTGTTTTGTTTTGAAGAATGAAACAGAAATTGTAGTTGAATGCGTAGATTACTTTTTCCTGCCACTACTAGTAAGACAATCAACATCACTAAATGTTGTGGAGAGAAATGGAGAAAATCCAAGGCTATTGAAAGTGGTATTCTCTTTACAGCTGTTGGCCAATCTCCAGCAGGAAGTCCCATCACCTACTTGGTGTTAAAATCATAAACTTGTTTCAAGAATTACCACCAATGTTTGCCTACATCCAATTGCTGAATTGTGAAAGGATCACTGTAAAGCAACCCTTAAAATCAACACTCAATCTTTCACTGAATACTTTAATTCATTTATTTGAAACCATGCTGCTGAGATGTATGTGTGCTTGACTAGCTGTTAACGTAAGCAGGTGGCCTCAATGTTGGACTTAAACAAGTCATCAGCACCACAAGTTACTGTTCAATAAAATTATAAAGTTTGGTGAGGAGAAAGCGGACATTGGAAAGAGCATTTTGGGTGTAATTTGTGGGATATTGATTTAGGATGAATCACATTCTGTAATAGGTAAAATATGGGACTAGACCACGTTGGTAGAGATATGGCTTTGGTCCGCGCTGTGATAGATTTGGTGCCTTGGTCTGGACTGTAGTGCTATAATGTGTAGTTTTGGTCAGTAATGTACCTGGGGTGTGGCTCCACGCAGTATCATTAGGTGCTACAGTGTATAATAAAACCTTTGATTTATGTCTGCAGGTGAAAGAAGGAACCAAAGATGTCATTTTGGGGTCTTTAATTGCTTTACTAGTGGCAGAAGGTGAGGACTGGAAACAGGTCGAAGTTCCTGCTGAAACAGTACGTGCTCCATCACCAGTTCAAAGTGTTTCTGTACGGATGGAACCAGCAGCACCTCGGGCACCTAGCTCCAGCATAGTGCAACACATACCTAGTAAAACAGCGTAAGTATGTAGCAACTGAGCGTGCTAACTTTGTATATCTTGTACAATGCATTGGCAGAAGTCTATTTAAAGCTAAATTAAATGGCTTTAACCTCAGTAAATTCTTGAGACATTTTTTAAGAAAAGACATGCTTATATGGCACCTTTCACAACTTCATGAAAACCCAAAACTTTTTTCTTACACTGCCAGTTATCTACTTTTGAAATGTAGTCACTGCTGTAACATAGGCAATATGCCAAATTGTGCGTAAGAAGCGCCTACATAGCAATGTGGTAATGACCAGTTAGTTTGTTTTGTGATGTTTAATTGAGTGATACATATTGGCTAAGTCACTGAGGAGTAGTCTGCTGCTTTTCTTCAAAACAATACTGAGGGCCTATTTTACATCTCATTCCAATGCTGGTACTTTGGACAGTGCAACGCTTGCATATCACCAGCCTGGAGTGTCAGCCTGGATCATCAACCTTTTTATGTGTTAACAGAACCCGTTTAAGCCCAGCTGCCCGCCAGATCGTGGAAACACATGGGCTTGACCCGAGCAGCGCAGCCCCTACTGGACCACGAGGAATTTTCACAAAAGAGTAAGTATAAAACTGTTTGCAAGAGCTGTGTGTTGTCAGGGTTTGATACTTTGGCTATGTCACATGCTGGCAAATCCAACACTGCGATCATGCACTGTGCTTATAGATAAAGAGAAATGTTAAAGTGTGACTGCAGTGTAATTGTAGATATATAAAAGCTATAATTAATATCATGCTAAGAAGTGTTTTAACTGCTTGATAAGATTGCTGATGTGTAACACCAAGAAACCTTTTCTTAGTTTTTAACTGAAGTAGTCACTTATTGGCATTGCTCATGAGCGAGTTGAGTTGCAGATAAGGAAAGCAAGTTGCATCAGAAATTTGTAACTGTGATTGTAAAATAAAGTAGTGTAAAATAAGAAGAAAGGAAAAGACAAAAGACTATTTTTGCTGCTGGGCTCCAGAAGGTAAGCAGTAAAGTACCAGGGTCTGTACCAAAACAGTCAGGACCTGTGCTATTTTGGAAATTGGGAGGGAGAGCAGATATGAAACTAGAGGCCAAAGCTTTTGAACATGGAGCCAAGGTCCAGATATTTGCAGAGGTAAGGAAACCAGCTTGGAATGTAGCTAGAATTCTGACTGAAGGCATGAGCTGTCTGAGACCAGGCAGATAGCATAACCAAAGAAAGCTTTGGAAGCATGGAAGAGGCCAGAATCAGGAGCTGAAGATGAAAGCAGCCGAAAAGACAGGGGGGAAGCCCTGGGCGAAAGGACCTAGAGAGTAACAATGAGTCTGAAATGGACCACTAAAGCCTGGACATAATTTGTTACCATACCCTAACAAAAAATACTTTTAACATGTGTTGAAATCTTTTCTAGAAGTAAAACATTCACCCCTAAGCAGATTGACCAACACTTTGAAGCATACTGCATCAACCAACCAAGTGATTAGCTCACACTACATCCTTACACAGAGCTGCTTATATCCATGATTTCTAATCTAAAGTTCTGGAGTAGTTTCAATGTAGTGATGTTTTGATATAATTGTATATATAAATTGCAAGTAATTCTTAGCTAGATATATAAATTGATGTTTGAGAAGTTGTTAAAATGTAATACTTAATTTTATCCCTACTCTGGGTTTACTTTTAATTTGTCCATGAAATAGTTGTAATACACAAGTACAGTCTAACTATATTATCTGTTATTTAACAAATAGGAGTAAATCGGTGAATATGTAGTTTTTTTTCATGTGCAGTTGGGACTTGAACAATTCAGATATTGGCTGATTCGATAAGTATCTGTCAGTGACCTCTATATTGGTAGAGGCAAAGCTCTCTGTAATCCCTGTGTAAGTAAATATGTCACTGTTGACACCAATGGGCTTTGTCCAAGCTAATGCATTAGCGTACTTGCTATTTCAGGATAGTGTCAGTCTCAGATTAGATGCCTTTTAGGAGGGCTTTTCTTTTTGCCCTCAACTGTTCTCAGTTCTACTTCGCTGTCTGCTTTAGAGAAATATGAACTACACCTGGTTAGTAGTGTGCAAAAGTACCACGCATGAAGTCTTGATACTTAATTCAATTTGTCTGTACAGAAACTGTAAAAGGATCAAATCTAATTCTAATGGGTTACCTCCAGGCAATCAAGGAGTTTTAATTATTGTAACTAACAATATACAAGTAGACTACCTCTGTCACTTCTTTATCTTTTATATTCATTGTTTTTACATTGTGTATGTACATTTGGGCATACATCTATGTTACACATGTGCAATCATTCCACCTGTAATGAGTCAAAAGTATTGCTGTTAGGTAGTTTTTTTCATTCTGGTCAGGAAAATTTTGTTACTACTTGATCATTAATTTAATGAATACCCATCCATAATTCAAACCACTTCCTTGTAGTCAATGGTTGCCTCCTTGCAAAGATACCACTATCACTTTTGTTTAATTCCTGTTCAGTGTAGGCTGTGTGGCTTTTATAAGACCCACCTTCCCTGCAACTGGCCCCAATGCCCCACAAATCTAATGCCTACCCTCCTGTACCAGCTTCCTAGTCACATGCTCAATTCTCCTAAATCTGTAATCACTAGCCCACGGGACTGGGAATAATCCCAAGACAATTATTTTAGAGCCTTTCAATCTCCTGCCTAGATTCCTGCAATCTGTTTTCAGTCCTTCGCCTCTATTCCTACCTAAATAATTGGTACCAATATGGCCCATAACCTCTCATTGATCATTTTTCTGCAGAAGAATGACTTGCAACCACTCTGTAATGTCCTTTACTCTGGAAGCAAGCAAGCAACATGCTGTCCTGCAGTCACGTTGATGCACGCAGAAGTGCCTGTCCAATCTTACTCTGTCTCTTTGTCTCTTACCACCCCATAAGATCATAAGACATACAAGCAGAAATTAGACCATTCAGCCCACTGAGTCTGCTCCGCCATTTAATCATGGCTGATAAGTTCCTCAACCCCATTCTCCTGCTTTCTCCCCATGCCTCTGGACTATGCAAAAATTGTTAGTGTATAATTGAAATGTTTCTTTTTGTAGCTAATTTCTTTCCTTTGGTGAGGCAGCTTTCTGTTTTATAAATGCAAGATACTCTGTTGGAATATCTGAATATGTGTACCTGTCGGTTTCATATAAAGCGTAGCTCTTTTTTCTGAATATATCAGTCAGCCACAAAAGTGCAGTCAAAGAGTAACTGTTCAGTTCTGTTGGCATAATGATAAAGAACTTTTAAGTGCTCATTGGCATTCCATCAATAGATTTTTCTATCTTTAAAGAATATTGAAGTTATATTTTTAAAAAGTAGAACTCTAGTGAATATGACTGAAGATCCTGCCTTCTTCCTACCACCACCACCACCACCACCATGAGGGCCCTAGACTGTACAGCCATTTTTTTTACTGCCTGTAAGCTTCTAACCTGTGATGTGGCCACCTCCCTAAATGTGTTATGCATGTAGTCCTGTGCCTCATTGATTCACAACAGTGAAACAAGCAGCTGCTTGAGTTCTGAAAATCGGAGCTCAAACTTGTGCAGCCAGTGATAGTTACAGCAGATGTGCTTGTCTAGGGGACAGTCGTGTGTCCATGACTTCACATATGCTGCAGGAGACGCACACCACTTGGCCAATTTGACCCGCCATTCCACAACTTTAAATATTATTTGTTGGTTTTAGACTAGGAGAAAAATTTACCATTACTCATCAATTAGTTCCATTCCTTTGTATTAATGAAAAAGCCAACGTCAGGAGGCAGCTCCCTATGCACACTACCCTCTTGCACTGTTTTTAGTCTCTCTAACAGCCCCCATCTCATGCTGCTGTCAATGTGCAAACAGATCTGTGGCATTTATTTGTAATTTAGATTCATGTCTCAGGTGTCAGTAAGAACTGAATCAAGTTCTGATTCATTCTGGAAATGACAGTTGTCACAGGTCTGCATGTGGTGTTAGAAGGGAAACAGAATTCTAGGCCAACGACCATAAACAAATCTGACTTTTTTTTTATTTTTAAGCATACTTTCATTGAAGTAGCAGTTTGAGCAATATTTTCAGGCAAATCATGATTGGCACTGATTATACCTAATTGTTTGGAAATTAACGTGTATAACATGTAGAATTTTTACAGAAAAGTTAATTTTTAAAGAAAGAGAGATGTTCTTGTTATCATAGCTTACATGTGAAATGCAAGCCATCTGTGTGTTTTGCCTTGTACATTTATAACCAAGTACTGACTCAAACCAGCATAAGTTGACGCTAATTTGTCATTGATAGTTATGAACTTCCCATTAGTCAGAAGGGTTCTGAGGAAGGTTCACTTGACCTGAAACGTTAACTCTGATTTCTCTCCACAGATGCTACCAGATCTGCTGAGCTTTTCCAACCATTTCTGTTTTTGTCAACAAAATATTTATATGCTGAGTAATTCTTGTCACTATTCTGAACCATTATGCAGCCAATAACATGCTGTCTTCTCATACAGCAGACAATTTCCATTTTGAAAGTTGATATTGGTAACAGGACCTCTTGAGGTCAGATATGCTAGTTGGTTCTGAGGAAGGGTCAGTCAACCCAAAATGTTAACTCTGATTTCTCTGTACAGATACTGCCAGACCTGCTGAGCTTTTCCAGCAATTTCTGTTTTTGTTTCTCATTTACAGCATCTGCAGTTTGTTTTTATTTAGTAAACACTTCGTTGAAGATTTTCGTCTTTCACTCATGAAGACAATTCACAGGAAATACCAAATAAAGGGAAAGCAATATTTATAAGAGGGAGTGCTAATTGTTTGGCATGTAGACTTTGATGGGTAGAGGTATTGCAATGGAGAATGCACAAATCATGATAACTTTCATGTAGCAAATGTCTAATATCTACGTATTGGAAAAAGGCAAGGGGTACAGTGTTAGGTGTCATTGCATTGAAGACATTGAACCCAACAAATATGTTTGCAAGAGCTGGCCTACAGGGATCCCGTAGCATCAACACCTAAAGTGAGGTGCTTAGTTCACAAGTTTAGCAAAATTCCTGAATATCTCATTGGGCTCTATCCTGCACTCATATTCACAATTGAAATGAAAGAGTTAAATGTGCTCCCTTTCCTTGATGCCCTAATTGAGAAATCAGCTAGGAGTTTCCTGCTACTGTTTCCTGCAAACATTGCTTCACTATATTTGTGTCGGAATTCCTAAAGTTCCAACTGCAATGAAATTAACCTTATTGGCAGCTTCTTAAATAGGAATCAAGACATTTGTTCCCTGTAAGCTTGATGCTGAAACAGGGTGCATCAAGCCATCCTGTGGGATAATGATCAGGTCATTTCTTTCTCTATATCACTCAAACACAAGAATGGGCCATCACATTTGGTCCTGAAAAGTACCCGGTGTACCTCAGATAACCTCAGAAGGATATATGATCTGAAAAGTTTGAGCAACAGGTAATGCTAGGTTTTTCACACTGCTACTATGCTGCTCCAACATGAGTGATATTGACCACTAATATGATGCTACTGTCAAGCTAAAAAAAGGTTCTGTCTATCCCAAATATTAGTAATGT